ACATCCCAGTAATGAATGTAACTGTACTGTCTACCTAGAATGTACCAATAAATTAAATTTAAATTTAAAAAAAGAAATCTCCATTGCTGAGTGTTCTGTGGTTTTTCTAAGAATTGCTTGTAGACAACAAAAGGGATAGAGGTGGTACAATAAACTAATGACACAAGACTATGTAGGCAAATCATTTGATAGGGTAAAAATCAGTGAGCTATCTTCATTGTACCTGTTCCTCACAATAAAATATTATTAATCACAAATAAAAAGTCACATTGCCATTAAGCCTCTTCAAAATACTAGTCCTCATTTCCAACACATTATCCAAGCATTCTTATCACTTTCTGAAGTGGTGCTAGGAGTCTTCTTTCATGAGTGTCTTCAGTTGTACTGTCTCCTGGCTACCTCAATGTTCTGAATTGATTGAAAACATTTATCTTTCATGTTCATTTTGACTTTGAGGCAGAGTCCGAGGTGACCTGGTACCATAAGGTAGATGAGAATACAACATAATATTTTTTAAAGCCTGACTTGCCAGTGTATGGTACTAAGTAGCAGCACTCACTATGTATATATATTTTTATCAAACTTTATAAAAACATGAAAGAGGACTTCCAGAAGTGCTTCAGAAAGTGGCAAGAAAAATGGGATGTCTGAAGTATTTTGTGGGGGATTAATGGCAATGTGTACTTTACTGTAATTTTTTTAAATTTGAAAATTTAACATATATTTTGATCCCCACATATTTTTGTGACAGTGACAGAAATCTAACACAATAGCCATATATTTTTCTGCTTTCTGAAAATGGATATAAAACATCTGTTTTCAACATAGGGCTTCAAGAAAAACTCATCTCAATAATCAGATTCCTAGTCCCAGAGCTAACACTTATTCTTTCTTTTAATGTAGGGAGGCAACCCTGACATAGACATATTGCTCTATATTAATCATATAATATGGTTTGTATTTTAACCTATATTTACTATACAAAATACTGAAATTCTGTCAACAGATGTTTTTATAAATACAGTTGAACTTAATCAAGAGTAAATACATCAATGTGGGATCTATTTCTTTTGTCACTTTTTCACCCTGGTAGAAATTCTAAACCTCAGCTCAAAGACTTTCTCATAGTTACTGGTTTTAACTGACTTCTTAATTCCTCAATAATTATTTCTTAACTCTACCACATGTGGACGAGTAATGACAGCTGTCATTTAATACAACCTAAGTATAAAATAAATGTGCTTAACAAATACAACTTCATTAAATCCTCATTTAAAACTCTATAATTATCATTACTACAGCCCTTGAGTATATTTTTTAAATGAGGCTTTTTTAAAAAAGATAAATATTTGCCCAAAGTCACATAGAGAGTAATTGGCAGACCTGGGGTTCAAGCCTGTACCTCTCACACTCCAAATTCTGAGCCCTTAACTGTTAAACTCTATTTTTTTTTTCTTGAAACTAAAAGCTTTAGTTAGGAAACTATCACCGTTTCCAAATTAAATGATTATACAATTATATAAATAAAGTGATGTCTAATTTATATAATATATATCAATTATATTTTTGTGCTATGTATTTTTAATATTTGTATACACATAAAGCTTTAAATTAGTAAGTAAATCTCATCAATTTTATCCCCCAAATTCTGTGTATCCTTTCTTCATTCTGTTTTCTCTATCACTACTTTATTCAAAATTGAGAATCATTATTCATTACCATATGCTAGGCAGTGTTCCGCAATCTGAAGATGTTTCTGCTTGTTAGCAACTCAAGTCTACTAAAAGAGAAAGACATTCGCAAAGGTTCACTGCCATCCTTTGTTCAAAAAGCAACGATGTAAATTGTACACACGATGAAGGAAGCCATGAGGGGAACAGGAACAGCGCTGCCTGGGGACAGGGAAGCTTTCCTAGGGGAGGATACATTAAAGTTGAGCCTGGATGGATGTTAAGAAGTAGACTGTCAAGTAGGCAATTCTGCAAGCAACAGAGGCCCCAATGGCGCATGAAACAAGCCTCCTGCAAGCCCAGCACTTTCTTCCTGGTTACCAAAATGGCCACCAACTGGTCTCAGTTCTCCTTATCAAGTCCACTTGAATGCTGGTCACAAATCCTCCAAAAGCACAAATTCTGTTGCTGTTATTGCACGCAAAACTCCACATTATCGCAAATCCTCATAGTATCCCCAAATTGCTGCCTTTTAATTAAGGGCCTTTTCATCTGATCCCTATGGTTTGTTATCTTCACCATGACTTACTAAAACTACTAATAGATCTACTTCCTTTTTGAGAGAAAACACAACTCAACCTTTTATCTTGGTTTATATCATTCTCCAACCAAATTCTGTTCGTGGTAGGATCCAGCACGTGCCGCCTTGCTTGCCCTTCCTTAAGTACTCCAGCTGCCAAAACTGCTGAGCAATTCACATGATAGATGCAAAATTTTATACACAGGAAAAAGTAGCCCTATTAATTAATCCAACTTCCTCATCTGTCCAGAACAGCTCAGTGATCCATTCCTTCCTTCACTCATTCAGGAGGAATATTTCACCTATTACATGTAATTCTCAAACTAAATGTCCCACACTAAATTCACCCCCACACTTTTTCCTTCCCCTTCCTCTTCTTCCTTCACTTCCATCCTCCAAATTTTCTTTTCATCTTCCTATATTCTATAGAATACGTTCTAAGCTAAGACATTCATAACCATTTTTGCTATGATTTAAATAGTGTTTTCCGCTGTGGAATGTGTGCTGAAAGTTTATTCCCACTGTAAAAATGTTGAAGGATGGCAGGGCCCTTGAGAGGTGATTAGGTCATTAAGCGAGATGAACGCCCTTCTAGAAGGAGTTCTCAACCTCACAGGACTGGATTTTTACCCCAAGAGGAAGTTATAAAACCAGGCCATCCTCTCTCCTATTTTCTCTATTATACATATGCCCACTTGACCTTTCACTCCCCAGGTTATGATATTCTCACCAGACCCTGCTGCTCTGGCCTTGGATTTCCCAACCTCCAGAAAACCATATACCAAAATAAACTTCTGTTCTTTATATAAATTACATAGCATCAGATGTTTTGTTATGGCAACAGAAAACAAACTAAGAAAAACAAGCTAAGACATTCCTGTGCTCTTTTCTGTCTCTTAATTGTCACATGCAATTGCTAGCCTAGTTATATTAATTCTTGTTTAGAGAATGTATCTAAACTCTGTTCTAGCTTTGTTATCTGATGTCCCTACTGAACTGTTAAAACACTCAACTGTTTCCCATCAGGAAAGTCAAGCCTTATGAATGAAGCAAAATCTTCCTTATTTACAGTAAATAGAGCACGTTTAAAGTTCCTGTATACTGTAGAGTGTTGAATCTTACAGAAAATAGCACTGCAAGGTTCTTAGAAAATCACTTGAAGAGTCCTAGTGCCATGATTGGAAAGGATAACTCAGTTACTTCTGTCTTCCAATTCAAAGATGATTCTTTTTCTCAGTGAAGTGGAGCACTTTGTATTTGATAGGGAAATGCTGCACAAATTGCTTTTTATTTTATATACACTTGTCTGAGGTTTAAGGATCTCTGGTGCAAATTGAAAGAAAAACATGGATAAGCCACTGTCTATGTTAAATTTAAGTATTTTAATACTGAGGTAAACAGCATCTCCCTTGCACTAGCACAATGCCTATGTGCATTGGTACCGAATGAAACACTCCACCATCGACTCCCTTCCCACACCGGATGTTGCTTCCTTGGCACAGTTCCCTTGTCAGTGCATCCATCATAGTTTCCTGTAATTTTAATTTGCTCTCTTCTCCGTGGAAGCTTTCTATATGCCACTATTATATTTCCAGCATTTAGCACATTCTTAGTACAAATATGTCAAAAACTAATTGGTAAATGAGTGAATAATTGGAGGATGACTATATTTTGAGAAGAGACGTTTCAGTGATAAGCAAGAAGTTTTGAAGACTTAGACATAGGCGGGAATGATTACCGTGCAACCACTATGGAAATCAGTGTGGAGATTCCCCAAACAATTAAAAATAGAAGTTTTATTCAACCCAGCTATTCCCCTTCTAGTTATCTTCCTGAAAGAGTTAAAGACATCATATCACAGTCAAGCATACAAACCCATGTTTATGGCGGCACAATTCATAATAGCTAAATCCTATATATCCATCAACAGACGAATAAAGAAAATGTGGTATTTACACACAAGTACTATTCTACAGTAAAGAAAGATAAATTGAGTCATTTGTAGGAAATTGTATACACCTTGAAACAATAAAAGTAAATGAAATAAATCAGACACCCAAGCTTTCTCATGAGAAACCCAAAATATAAATGCAGTGCTTTTAAAAAGCACATAAGCCGGGCGTGGTGGTGCACGCCTGTAATCCCACCACTCAGGAGGCTGAGGCATGAGGATCGCTGTGAGTTCGAGACCAACCTGGGCTACATAGTGAGTTCCAGTTCAGTTTCAACTACATAGTGAGACCCTGTCTCCAAAAAACCAAAAAAAAAAGAAGCACATAAAAGATAACAGGAAAAAGTGACATAAATCTTTTGCAAATTGAAAGGGAACCTAAAGAGGGAGGGAAAGGGGTAAGGAGAGGAGGAAAAGGGGAAGTAAAGATGCGTTATGCACATACAGATACCAACTCCCCACCATGAATGTAATCATTATGTACTGCAAGCATACACAAAAAGTTTGGTACTGGAATAGGCGCTCATAATGGAGAACAGGATTTTCAGAGACACATGATTACTTATACCTTCCACTAGACTTTGTTGATTCAGTTTCTGTCCAGGGGAAATTTAAACTATCACATTCCCAAAACCCCAAACGCACAGCCAGCTCTATTACAACGCAAACCCCATAAAGCGAGTGACCTCCACTGACCAGGGGGCGCTGCACAGATGCGGTCGCAAAGAGCTCCACAGCGCCGGGGCCCCCTATCCTTTCCACCCCGCCGGGCTCAATAGTTCCTGTGACGCACTTCCGGTTGGCGGAGCAGCGCACGTGTGTCCCAAAAGGAAGTGGCGTCAGCTGGTGGAGTTGAACCTGGCTCCTTGTTGAACGCGTCTCTTTGCCAAGTATGTCGCACTTGCAGATGAAACTTCTGCGTAAGAAGATTGAGAAGCGGAACCTCAAACTGCGGCAACGGAACCTAAAGCTACAGGGTGAGCTGAGCCGGCAGTGGGCCTCCGCCGGGTCGGGCCGCGCCGCTGGTCTGCTCCGTGTGGCCCCGGGTCCGCCTCTGAGCCGTCGGAGACTCCGTCCGTCCCTAATCGGACCGGTTAGATCTAGAGACTGAGGGTTGCCTTTCTGGTTCGCGGCTGGGCTTTCGACGAAGCCTGCCTTTTGCACCTCACCTTCTTCAGGCCCACTTCGTCCCCCTTTGATCCCCATCCCAAACACTAGTGGAACTTTTATTTCAGCGCACCTTCCGGTCTCATCTTGGGTTTAATTCATGTCTTTCTTATCCCCAAAGGCTTAAGCGCCGCTTTCTTCACAGAGCATCACGCTCACTGCGAGTGACTTTTGTAGCGCTTTCTCGTTTTCAGCTGTGAAGGTGTCATCTGCACGCGTGAATGCACAGCCTCTCCTATCCCATGTTCTTATCGCTCCCTGCTTTAAATTCTTAATTTCTTAAGCGTTTCCATATATTTGTGTTCTGCAAAGGCTCTTAAATCGAAAAGATTTTTCTAAAGTAGTACTTTTCTCGCCTCGTTTGCAGTCCCAATTTCCTGACAGTGGGCCGGAAATCTTGAAGTGATTGTGTCACTTTTTGAAGCTCCGTGCAGGTCCCCGAGGAAATGTGGGAGGCGTATTTCTTAGCCTCAAGTGATTTTTAACAGTAATTGATCGTAAGAAATCCTGGAGTATGCAGTAGGTTTGTGAGTTCTAGGGATGTGTTTTGGAGTTCCTTTATATCTTAGTTCATGTAGAATGATTAACATTAGTAAGTACCTCTTGGCTTAGGCATAGGTAATAATCTGAACAAAAAGTGATGTTCTTACATTTTCTTCTCTATGTAGACAAAAACTTCAATAAGATATTCTTTGGTATTTGTATATGAAAGACATTGGACAAATAATTTAGTTCTTTAAATTTTCAATTCGCTATTCTAGAAGAGTTGAAGTTAAATGTTGTGAAATTATATGAGAAGTGGTAGTTGTATGAATAAGATTTAAATTTCCTTTTCAACAAATCAATTGATTATCAAGTGTGAAGAAGAATATTTTTGTTACTGCTGTTGTCTGGTCCCCATAAGTTTTTTACCTCCCTGAAGTTTGCCTATCCCAGACTCCTAGGAGATGGATTGGGTCTTTTGAAATTAAGAAATCAATATGGCTTTCTTTTTTCCAGAATTTTTCCTTTTTTAAAAAAGCTTACTTTTAGTTAGTAGAATATAAAAAATTATAATTATTTTGAACAGTGAACGTGAAAGAGTAGAAAAATGTAAGTAAATTGAGTCATGGAATTTCTCGTGAGGGATTCTAATGTTTCTGCTAAGTCTTCCCTTTGTCATAGTGCATGTTCTGTTTTTAAACAGGACCCTCAGATGTGAGCCTGTCAGAAACTCAAAATGGCGCTGTGCCCAAAGAAATAGCAAGAGTTGGAGGAAAAGTTAAAAAATCCCTAAAACATTCAGTGAACGTGGACTTATCTGAAGCTCAAAGTGGAGATGACCCTGAAGAAACAGGGAAAGTTAAGAAATCTTTAAAATATTCTGTAAACCCGAGCTCATCAGAAGCTCAAAACAGGGATGTGCTTAAAGAAACAAGCAAAGTTGGGAAAGTTAAGAAATCCCTAAAACTGTCTGTTAGTTCTGTTAATTCAAGCTTGTCAGAAGCTCAAAATGGAGATGAGCCTAAAGGAACAGAGAAAATTAGAAAAGTTAAAAAGTCTCTAAAGCATTCACTGAACATGGGTTTGCCAGAAGCTCAAAATGGAAATAAGCCTGAAGAAACAGTGGAAAATGTCAAAGTTCAAAAGTACCCCCAGAATTCTACCATATTAACCAATGGAGGAGCAATAACACCATCTCCTGATTCAGAATTGAAAAGGAAAAAGAAGAAGAGAAAAACGGTGAATGATGCTGGGCCTGGTAAATACTTCATTTTCTTTGAACTTCAGGCATTCAGATAGTTTCTCACAGTTATCATTCCACTTTTCTCGATTATTATTCTGTTAATATGATATATAAGAATTCTTCATGCTCGTCAGTATACCAGAGGTTAGCAATGTATGTCTTTTTGGCAGTTAACTAGGCTTTTTAATGATAAACAATATCCTATGGCATAATATATTAGGTTTACGTATTTGAAAGTAGAATTATGAACACTAAAGAAATCTGAAATGGTTGTAAGGCCTTTCTATGTCAAGGGACTTGACATTAATGTTTCATTTCATTTGCCTTTTTTTTTTTTTGCCCTCATTCCTTCCATTTTAATACTGTAAATTCCTCCCCATTCAGACAGAAATTTAGTTGCAAAGTATATACAATGTCATTTAAGAACATTCTAAACAAAATATTAATTTCCAAATGAGTGAATAGGCAGGATAATGTTGGAGGGAGAGAGGAAAGGAAGATAATTCTCATGTGGAAGGAGTGGACATTTTAATTGAGATATGAATAAGCAGAGATTTCCAGGTAGGATAACATGGGTCAGCAAACCCCCTGGCCTTCCACCTGTTTTTAAGTAAAGCTTTATGGGATCACAGAAATGCCCATATATTTGCTTTGTTTTTATTACAGTGAAGACTATGTGCCCTATAGAACCCAAAATATTTATTAGACCTTTATGGAAAGTTTGCCAACCCCTGAGTTAGAACATCGTATGGATGTATTTTATCTGAAGTAAAGGTTTCATTTAGAAAGTACTGTGAAGTTTTCCAAACATGTATGGCTGTCTCCATACTTCCTACAAAGTAATATATATATATGTGTAGGTTATGAGAAATTGCTTATTAGTACTAGATAGAAAATATGAGAATTAATTTTGATGTAAAGTGATTTTAACCCTATTCTAAAATTATTAATGGCTTTAGGATTGCTCTGAGTATGCCTGAATAAAGTAACATTTCTACTCTCAAGCACTGAAATCACAGTACTGGGAGTTTCAACCTATGGCTAAACTTTAAGAAGGAAGGCAAAAGTAAGAAGCCAAGGATGTAACTCATGACATCCATGGCTTTCGAACATGTGAGTCTTACGAAGTGACCATTTCCCAAAAGAGTTGCAGTAGGAAACAGAGTAAAAGCCACCCTGGACTATAGAGTCCTGAGTTTGATCTAGATCATTTTTGTTCGATAAGTGCCATAAATTTATATAAAAGCCTAACATGTAAATCTGTTAATGCAGAAGGAACCTTTGAGAGAGTCATAGGTAGAACTAGAAAAGTACTGTAGTTTGTTTCCTTATTGTGAAAATTGTACATATAGAAGTGAAACTAGGAAGTCCTACTCTTCCTCCCTCACCCTTAAAAGCATACAAACAGTCCATTACTTATTACCCAGCTAAATAAATCATTACCTTTGCTTTATAGTCTCTCTCTGGGAAGATGAAGTATGTGCTTTTTTACAAAAATGACTTTTATGGAAAACTGATGGTAAATGGCATGTGCGTGAAAATCAGTTCTTATAGAGTTTTTTTTAATTATGCAAATCAGTTGTGCTGTTTTTATCTCAGTGGCGTAGATCAAATTCATAATTAGTACCCTTATATAGTTTAATTGAACTTTTAAGTTTTTTTAAACAACATAGTGCAATACATTAAGAAGCCTAAAAAATGTTGGCAAGTCTGCGTGTACCCAGAGTTTTAAATATGACCAGGCCTTTCATGAAAAGGAGAGATTCTTAACAAATTGATATTGAATATGTTTTGGAAAATATATCTGTTTGTATTACAAGTCATTTGTTGATCTCATTCAGTATTTTCATTTTAAGAAAAAGCAATTTGTTTTGTTCTTTAAAACCCAAGATACAAAAAAAGCAAAAGCTGAAGAAAGCACCAAGACTCATGACCAAACAGAAGATGGTGTGAGGAAATCAGATGGTGAGGAAGGTGACGGTGAAGTACCCAGCCTGCCCCTGGGACTGACAGGTAACTTCTAGGAAGTTCCAGATTCATCTTCTAAACAATATCATATCTGTGGTTATAGGACTGAAGGTTCAGATGTGACAGTTAGCTTACTGGAAAAAATTAATATCAATAAGAAATGTTTTGCCAGAGATTTAGCTCAGTGGTGCTGCCACCTGCTTCCCAAGTGCAAGGTCCAGAGTTTGGTCCCCAGGACCAAAAAAAAAGATATATAATAAGCAATGTTTTTTGTTCTGTGCTCCTTTTTTTCTCTTTGTCTTCTACCTTATGATACCTTAGTACTTTCTATTCCTTCCCCTTTCTTTCCTCCACTCCTAAAATTTAAATATTTTTATATGGACACAGCTTCTGAGATCCTGCTTCTTTGGTTCACTTTTCTTTTGAGGCGGGTAGATCTCACTGTTACGCGGGCTTGACTCCAACTTACAATTCTCTTGCCTCAGCCTCCCCAGTAACAGATTACAAACAAGCCACAGTATTGGGCTGGTTTAACTTTTGCTAAAATTCATTCTTTGTTGTAGTAGGAAAATTTGGAGCTCAGAAGTCTGGGTAGCAGAGGTTTATACAAACTCATTTACTAATGAAGGAAGGAAAAAGAGCAGGCTTTTGCCAAATTAACCTCTTTGGCCTTGGTTTATTGATAAAGTCAACAGTTTCGAATTTGCTTCTCCAAAGCAGAAGTTTGTGGGGGTGGTTTAAGCTATTGTTTAGCTTGGGCCATTTCATTTTTGTTAAAATACGAAGGTCCAGACCAGTCATGCTTAATCAAAAGTGTGAAGGTTGGCAGGGGTTGTAGCTCATTGATAAAGCTCTTGCCTGGTATGGATGAGGCTCCAAGTACAATCCTTAGCCCTAGAGGGGGAAAATTATCTAGCTAGAAATGCCAGTTCCTATATTTCTTAACTGACAAAGTGTGTAATAAACTTACTGTAAATTGAAAACTTAAGTTAAAAGTTTAATGTACTTAACATCATAGCCTAGCCTGTCTTTTTTTTTTTTTGAGACAGGGTCTCACTATGTAGTTGAGATTATCCTGAAACTCACTATGTAGCCCAGGCTGGTCTCAAACTCACAGCAATCCTCCTGCCTCAGCCTCCCAAGTGCTAGGATTACAGGCATGCGCCACCACACCCGGCTAGCCTAGCCTATCTTAGCATGCTTGGTACTCTTAACATTGGCCTACAGTTGAGCAAAATCACCATGTAAAGTCTGCTTTATTTGATGGTGTTGAATATTGCATATGATTTATCAAATCCCACCTCAAAAGTGAAAAACGGTGGTTATATGGATATACTTTCATACCATCATAAACTTGACAGATTGTTAGTTGAACTGTCTCTCATAAGTTTAGGACCATCACTATTGCCAAGGCTGACAATTTCTGATTTATGGATTGGTGTGGCAGAGTGGGGTGTTCCTGGGGTATTTTAATCCCTTCCTCTGCTGAAGATACTCTATACCACTTGAAGTGTGGATTCATTCTAGTGTTCTGTGGCTAGATCTGACTCTTGTTTCATTGTCTTTCTCAAAAGAGATTGAGTACTTTTTGGTTGATTTCATAATCAGTTTTTTTATGCATAATGTTTTCACTTTATATCAGATTTCATAAACATTTTGTTTCTGAACGTTTTTAAAATCTCCTTTAGCATTTTCATTTTATATAAATATTTCAGTTATACCTCCTCTGTACTCCTTATTTTTATTAAGTGTAGACTCTGGGCTTTAATCACAAAGCTGTCATCAGTGGAGAGACTTCCAAAAATACAACATTTTTTTCTTAAAATCACATGGGAATGATTAGGGTTTGGGTAAGAAATTCTTTTTAAAATATAAGAACCAAGATAGATTATGTAAAGGTGCAAATTTCCAGTGATAAACGTCATTACATTGTATACCTTAAATGTACCAATAAAATTAATTTTTGAAAAATAAATTATTTTAAGCAAAACTAATTTAGGTAATTAGCTGTATTAACTTTTAAAAAATAAGTTTGCTGATAATGAATAATCTTTTCAGGAGCTTTTGAGGATACTTCTTTTGTCTCTCTAACTAATCTTGTCAATGAAAACACTCTGAAGGCAATAAAAGAAATGGGTTTCACAAACATGACTGAAATTCAACATAAAAGTATTAGACCACTTCTGGAAGGCAGGTATGATTAATAATTGATGTTTGGGCATTAGTCGCTATTTTTAGAGTTGTGAGATTATAAAAATTAACAGTATGGTCTATTAATTTTGCACTCTGTCAGGTCACGTATCCAGCCTTTGTTGGAAGCTTCATGTGATCAGATGCATAAAGAAAAGTGTTCAGGTCTCCTGTGTAGCGTAGCTCTTACTTACTTCTGAGTTCAATATATAACCCAAGGGGGTGATATGAGCACTAGGGAGGCATGGACTGGGGTGTCATGTTCTAGCTTAGTGCCTAAAGCATGTGCATAGTGCGTGTTGAGTATTCATTAAGTAATTGTTGAATGAGTACATTAAATAATTAATGTCTCTCCTTTCCT